GGCTTTGCAACTCAAATAGAATTGCCTGATGCTAACAAAAATTATACTAATATTGATATTGATGACCAAATGTTTTGGGAGAATTACAACCACCACAAGATGTAGTATCTATGGAAACTAACTGGCCAGAGAAATCGTTACAGATAACAGAAAATTTAATTACCATTTTAAACCAATCAGCTCAAACATATCACAAAGCACAAACAACCAGAGATAAAGAAGATACTCAAATTAATTCAAGATTTTCAAAATACCGGGCGCCTGGGTGGCTCAGTTGGTTAAGTGACTGCCTTTGGCTCAGGTCATGATCCTGGAGTCCCGGGATCGAGTCCCAGGATCGAGTCCCGCATCGGGCTCCCTGATCAGTGGGGATTCTGCTTCTCCCTCTGGCCCTCCCCCCTCGTGTGCTCTCTCTCTTTCATTCTCTCTCTCAAATAAATAAAATAAAATCTTTAAAAAAAAAGATTATCAAAATACCTGCAATGGATTTTTTTTTTTTGATTCTTCTCTTGTCTTTCTAATTCTGTACCTATTCCCTGTTGGTTGCTTCTAATGTTATTAATTGGATTTTTATTACTATTTCTGTATTTATGTTATGAATGTTACAAAAAAGGCAAAGGGAAAAACTCACCACAAAGCACATGTACAATGTTTGCACGACAGTTTGATCTCATTGAAAAATAAATCAGCTGTAATATTCCCAGTTAAAACCCATACTGTTGACCCTCTTCCCTACCCCCACATAGACTCCTAGGCCACCTAAATCAGGCCTAGCATCAAGGGACATGATGGACCCATGGCAGATAAAGAATCACCCTGACATCAAGGGACAAAATAACTATCATCATTGCTTTCTGCCAGAAGATCATTGATCAAATGGGGCGGGGGGTGAGGTAGGGCGCGGGGAAGCAATGAGAAAAAAACTCTCTAAAGGCCCTGATATAAGGGAGGCCATTTTAGATTTCTTTCTAAGTCAACATGACTACATAAACTTTGTTTAAACCAAAATCAGGCAGGCCTGATTTAAGGCCTGCCAAGCATCTGCTTTACAAATGAGCAGCCTGAAGGAAAGCCTCCTGTCCTTAAGATGTTGATCAATGCTCCTACTCCCTATATTCTATGATGTTAAAACTCGTGATTCCTGCCTACATATTAATCTATAACTTTTTTGAGAGACGGTACCTCTGACATATTGATTTATGGCTTTTTATGTAAAAAAGTATATGATCTTGTAAAAACTCTTCATTCCCTGGAGCACTTTCTTCCCTGTGAAAATTGTGTTTCCCGGTCAGCTGTCCTAATTTGGGCTCGAATAAAACTCTCTCTTCTCGTATTAGAGTGCTTTCTGGTCAATTTATGTTGACAGAACTATATAGCACTTTGTACTTTATAAGCCATAAGTACATGTACCTTTAATGTTGCAGTTTAGGTGGGAATAGAGGAGTCCTCCCAAATTGGCTTTGTTTCTGTCTTAGTCCATTTGGACTGCTATACCAAAATACCACAGACTGGGTGGCTTACAAACAACAGAAATTTACCTCTCACAGTTCTGGATGCTGGAAGTCCAAGATCAGGGGCCAGCATGGTTGGGTGGGGGCCCTCTTTGGAGTCACAGAATTTTTGTTGTTCTCACATAGGCCTAGGGAGCCATCTGGGTCTCTCTCTCTTCCCCACCCCTGGGTCTCTTTTAAAAGAGCACTAAGCCCATTCTTTTTAAATTTTTTTAAAGATTTTCTTTATTTATTTGTCAGATAGAGAGAGAGAGCAAGAGAGCAAGCGAGAGAGAGAGAGAGAGAGAGAGAGAGTATACAGCAGGGGGAGCGGCAGAGGCTGAGGGAGAAGCAGGCTCCCTGCTGAGCAAGGAGCCCAATGTGGGACTCCATTCCAGGACCCTGGGATCATGACCTAAGCTGAAGGCAGATGCTTAACCGACTGAGCCAGCCAGGCATCCCACTAATCCCATTCTTGACCCTCATGACCTAATCACATTCCAAAGACCCCCACCCTCTAACACCAGCACATTGGGCATTAGGATTCCCACTTGTGAATTTGGCAGGCATAATCAGACTATAGCAGTTACTGCTTCTTGTCAACATTCACTTCTTTTTATCCCTCTCCCCTAGTTACACTTTATTTGTTCTGATATAGCTACACTTGTTTTTTTCCTTAGGATTTTTCTTTCTTTTTTTTTTAAAAGATTTAATTTATTTATTTGAAAGAGAGAGAGAGCGAGCGAGAGAGCACGAGCAGGGGGAGCAGCAGGGCAGAGGGAGAAGCAGGCTTCCCGCTGAGCAGGGAGCCCAATGCGGGACTCGATCCCAGGACCCTGGGATCACGACCTGAGCCAAAGGCAGACGCTTAACGACTGAGCCACCCAGGCGTCCCTGAGGGAGATGATATTATCCCCATTTTACACATGATAAAGCTGGAGCTCAGAGGGATTAAGTAACTTTTCCAAGGTCACACTCCCAAAAGCAGCTAGTAAATGGTCTGAACTCATTGGCTCATTCAGTCAGTCATTTCTCAGATACTCACTGAGCATGTTTATCAGCCATTGTTCTTAGTTGCAGGCAATGGAAACCAACTCTGGTAGATTTGAGCAGAAGAGGAATTTATTAAAGGGATCCTGGATTGATTGCTCAGAGAAATGCTGGGAGCACTGGAGTACAAAGTGTGGAAGCTTCACAGCAGGAACAATGGTCAGACTATGGCTGCCTTGGGGCACCTGGGTGGCTCAGTTGGTTAAGCATCTGCTTTCGGCTCAGGTCATGATCCCAGGATCCTGGGATCGAGCCCTGCATATGGCTCCTTGTTCAGTGGGGAGCCTGCTTTGCTAGGCCCTAGACACTTCAGCTTGTGACGCTCACCCACTGGTTCTGGACACTGGAAGCTGTTTGTGAGCACTGCTTCCTCCCTCATCTTTTTTTAAGATTTGTTTATTTATTAGAGAGAGAGCATACATGTGCGTCAGTGGGGGGAGGGGCAGAGGGAGAGAGAATCCTGAAGCAGAATCCCCGCCGAGCGCAGAGCCTGTTGAGGGGCTCAGTCCCAGGACCCTGAGATCATGACCTGGGCTGAAATCAAGTGGTGGCTGCCCAACTGACTGAGTCATCCAGGTGCCCCGGTCTCCTTCATCTTACTGCAGCCACCACTGTCCCCAGAGTCTCCATAGTTTCTTGGTATGACAATCTCTGGATTCAAGGCCTAGGCAGATGCCTCTGATGAGTGGAGCATGACTGCATGGGCCTGGTCCAGAGCTGCTGGAGTGGGGAGCAACACACTTCTTGCACTTGTATCTTCTCTCCTGGGAGGTGGGCTCTATTCCCAATCATATGATAAAGAACTCTCCAAATGTCGTAAAGACATTCAAACCCTGGGCAGCCAAAGGAACATCAAACAGTCATATGTATATCTACTATACGAATGGCACCGCTAGACATGGTGGAGAATGCAGAGATGAATCAGACCCTGAACCTGCCTTCAGAGACCTTATTGACTCATAATTCTCTTCCTTTCAATGTGCACATTTATTTGGCACCATAATTTGCAAAGCTCTTTCACTCTCACTATTTCATTAGATCCTTCTGACAGCCATGTAAGACAGGCAGAACTGATGTTATCTCCATTTTATACTTGAAGAAGCTAAAAAGTTAGGTAATGAGCCAGTCCTCTGACTCCAGGCCCAGTGCTGAGTGAGTCAACCAGCAATTAATTCCAAGGCATGTGGTTTCCCCATTTTTAAAAAAAGATTATATTTATTTATTTGAGAGAGAGCGATCAGGGGGTGGGGGGTGGTTAGAGGGAGAGGGAGAAGCAGGCTCCCCGCTGAGCAGGGAGCCCAACTCGGAGGCTGGATCCAGGACCCCAGGATCATGACCTGAGCTGAAGACTGACCCCTAACCCATTGAGCCACCCAGGCGCCCTTCCCCTGACATTTTAATGCTCCTGAAATCAGGAGGCATCTTATAATCAATGGTATATCATAGATTAATTGGCAGCCTAATTCCTAGTGGTATGTAAACTAAGGGAGCATCTTCAATTGGTGTAGATTCATTGGAATGCAGTCACTAGATAAGGGTAGGAAGTAAAGTAATAAGGGGACATAAAGGTGAGCCAAGAGATCAGGGAAGACTTTGTGGGGGAATCATACAGCCCACCATCCCTCGGTTCCTTATCTACAACTCTGAATTCCAAAAGGCTTTTTTCCCCCCGAGTTTGGCACCAAAACTCATTTGTCAGCAAAACCTGACCTGAACTGATGTGAAGTAATTTATAACTATAAGGGATATGTAAATATAATATATAATTATAACCAAATAATAATTTTAATTATTCTACTTACCATGAAGATCAATATGTGTAGCAGCAGAAATATTAATGTTTGGTAATGGAGCATTATTCCAGCCCCTTGAGGGGAGGGAAAGGAGGAGGTGTTACCTAATATTGGGTCCATGTACTGCACTGTCTTTTTAAAATCTGTAAAATTCTGAATTTTGAAACTCATTTAGACCCAAGGGTTATGGATAAGGGACTCTGGATTGTATCTGACCTGGGGCTTGATTGGTGGATAGAATTTAGATGTTTGGAGATGTGGAGGGGATTTTAGGAAGAGGAAGAGCATCATCCCACACCAGCTTAGGTCTAGGTCTAAGTCATTATTCAACCATTAAACTTGCTTTAAGAGCAGAGATGACTGGCATCTCTCCCTTAACTCGTGATTCATACATTGTTGGAGGGTTGGACTTTCTGGGTTTGGCTTTTTCCCCCACAGTAATAATCCCCTCCTTTTCCCACAAATCACCTGACTTCTCTGAAAACTCTAACACACCCTTTGGCTGGAAAAGAACATTAAGCAATCGGTGGAATTCCCCACTCCTTCTTTCTCCCCCTGGAGCCCTGGATGAAGGGACCTTGGGCATGACAGAAGTATGCAGTTCTTGTTTCAAAAGCAGAGGGAGCTCCAAGATCGAGGCTGAGTTACCCTTTCCCTTGTCATGGTCTCCCAGCCCCCTCTTTGTTTAGATCAGGGAATTTCAGACATGCACCCTGGGATAGAGAATCAGATGAACAGAACCAGGACAGGGAGGCCGGCGGAGTTCCTGCAGAGGGAGTGACCAGGCCCGGTGCTGCTCTCCCTGGGAGCCGGCAGGGTTGCCCAGCATGTCCACTGGCACGAGAGAAGGGACTGACCCACTTGTTCCCATCCGCTTCTGAAGGTAAAAACCTTAAAAACTGAAGAGCAGAGCTTTGGTGGAAGAAAAAGAAAGGCAGAGAACTTCACATGGGAAGGTTTTGGGCAAAGACCGAGGGCTGGAAGGAGCAAAGTAAAAGAAGGCAGAATATAGGCAACCTCTTTCTCTTAGGTTGCCCTCCCCCCTCCCCTCGCGGTTACCCCACTACTTACCATCGTTTTCAGGGTTAGAAACATTTTTGGCAAGACTCTCTGAGGAACTATGGAAAGATATCTCATCTTTTTTAATAAAGGAAAAAACCCCAAACCCTGGAGAATTAACGTAGGAAATTGAGGGGATACATTTCCTTTCCTTTCTTTTTGTGTTTCTTGTCATTCAGCTGCCCTTTGCCTCATTCCCCACCCAACCCTGTCTCAGACCACTTCTCCCAAGGTCACTGCCTTCCCCTAGTAAAAGAAGGTCATCCCTCCATCAGTGGTCATTGGGGAGCACCAACAGCAATACGTGCAATAATAAACATCGTAAAGAGAGCTGGTATGAAATGATAAAGGGGATCTTACCAAAAGAGGAGGGAGAAATGTCCTAGGGGGATAGTCATGATGGGGAAAGACTCCTGAAAACCTGAGTGGAAATGGGGATATTGTTTTGTGAGGGCAGGAGAGAGACTGATAGAGTGGGGGCAGGGGTCACTGGTGGGGGTGAGGGAAGAGAAGGAAGAAAATTGGGAGAAAACGCTCATGTTTTTTTTTGGGAAAACTGGGAGAAGATCCAGAGAAGCAATGGGAGAAGGATAAGATCTAGTTTTAGTCTAGAAAGTGAATTGAAGTAGAACCAGGGAGGGTATGAGATGACAGGCATCCTGTGGTGATCAGTGTATTGCTTTGTTTAACCTGTATGTTACTCTTATGAAGGTGACGCTGAACCCCAGGTGACCCCCATCACCAAAGCAGGTGCCTGTGTTTGTTTGACAAATACAGCCAGCCCTGCCACCCCTTTGCTCCAAAGTCCAGAGGTGCAGAGAGCCAGGACCTAGAGGCGTGCTCTTCACCAGGGATGAACAAATTGCCAGAGATGTGGTAAGTGATCACGAGTCTACAGAGATGTACATGGACTCTAGTCCCTTTATCTTCTCTAGAAAATAGCTCAGATCTGAAGCCCAGGTTTTGGCTTGACCTAGGCCTTTTTGCTCTATTCCAGCCTAAGATTCTCTTCCATGTGCTGTTGCCCTCCTCCCTTCTACCTATTTCCCTCCCTTTCCCCTCCCTTCTACCCATGACAAATGCTAGGGCACTCCACTAGTCTGCCAGTACCTGGGTCACCCCCCTCTCCATATGTTTTTTTTTTTTCAGGTGCATTGTGCTGTTTTCCCTTTTGGCATCCATTTATGCTGAGCCTACTATGTATGGGGAGATCCTGTCCCCTAACTATCCTCAAGCATACCCCAATGACATAGAGAAATCTTGGGATATAGAAGTTCCTGAAGGGTATGGGATCCATCTCTACTTCACCCATTTAGACATAGAACTGTCAGAGAACTGCGCATATGACTCAGTGCAGGTATATTACAATAAGCACATAAAGGATAGGGCTGGGGTGGTGGTGGTGGAATGTTCTATTCTTTCTGTCCCCTTCTGTGACCTCCATGCCAAAAATATTACCCTTTCTTAGCTTCCTTTTGACTCTTTTCTTAGATAATGTCAGGAGACTTTGAAGAAGGGAAACTATGTGGACAGAGGACCAGCAAGAATCCCAACTCCCCAATTGTGGAAGAGTTCCAAGTCCCATACAATAAACTCCAGGTGATCTTTAAGTCAGACTTCTCCAATGAAGAGCGTTTCACTGGGTTTGCTGCATACTATGTTGCTGTAGGTAAGGCTCACCCTTCTCTATGTTCCTTAGTGATCCAGCCAAAAGATTAGAAGCAGAACAAACACTGAGAGATTCCGTGAATAAGGATTCTGTTTATAATTATAACTCTTATGAAGTGTTGACTGGACTTGGGTACGTCCATGAATTGCCTTTGTGAAATTCAAACACAAGATTATATCTCAGTGATGATGATGATAATGATAAAAATAGGTAATAAATAGTAACTTATTGAGAACCACTATAAATTGGGCACTGTATTAGGAATTTTATCTATATTAACTTAATCTTCTCCTCAGCTCTTGAAGCTAAGTATAATGATCTCCACTTAAAGATAAAGAAAGTGAGGACTAGGGAAGTTAAGTAACTTGCCAAGAATCACAAGAGGAATGCATGATATTCAAACCCATCCAATGGCAAACAAACCTTCAAATTCTGTGTGCTTCTACACCTAACTCTAGGTTAAAGTGAAGTTAGAACATCTCATAAAGCCAAACTATTGTTTGGATTTGACAGAAATGCCCAAATCCTCTAAAGTGGTAAGCGTACTGATTGTACTTCCCCTCAGAAGACATTTAATCATGTTTAGTCTATAGAGTGTTGTCTCTGGAACTGAAATGCTCTGTTTGTGAGAAAGGCCAAGGGTCTCTGGCATTGAGAGCTCCCTTATAGCCATGCAATGACAGGACTCAACTCCAGAATCAGAATCATGGAGAGTAATATAGAATAATACCATCCTGAAATGTGATTCATTCATTCATGTTAGCAATAGGCCTTTCCTAATTTTTATTACCCTTGTAGTTTTGGGTTTAAACTCATTCTTCCTTCTATGTCTTTGTTCTTGACTTCAATCTTTCTCTACTTTTTCTAGATATAAATGAGTGCACAGACTTTGCAGATGCCCCTTGTAGCCACTTCTGCAACAACTTCATTGGTGGTTACTTCTGCTCCTGCCCCCCAGAATACTTCCTCCATGATGATACGAAGAATTGTGGAGGTGAGCTTGGCATCAAGTGGGGTACATGTTCCCTGGGATTTGGAGTGGCTTGAGGCTTCAGTTATAGCTTTGTTGACCCTTCCAGTTTTGACTAGCCTCAGCCTTGCTTTGGCACCTATCTTTAGTTACCCATAAGCTGCGGGGGAGCCACAAGAGTGGAGGAAGACAAGACTACAGGGTCAAGTTAAATAATTGGAGAGGAGAGATAGATGCCTGTGAAGAGTCTACCTGGGACTGTTCATAACCTTGAGGGGCTCTATCATAAACAATGTGATGGAAACCCAATAGGCATTGGGTATCTCTATTGATTTGTATCGGGTGTGTAATTGTGGCATGTGGGCTCCAGTCAGGGATGCTCAGTTCATGAGAAGAGTCATAGAATGGGGCAGGGTCTCCTTTCCTTGACCCTATATTTGATTCCTCTTTTTTTTTTCTTTCTTTTTCTCCCTTAGTCAATTGCAGTGGGGATGTATTCACTACACTGATTGGGGAGATTGCAAGTCCCAATTATCCCAATCCATACCCAGAGAACTCAAGGTGTGAATATCAGATCCTGTTGGAGGAGGGATACCAAGTGGTGGTGACTATGCGGAGAGAAGATTTTGATGTGGAACCAGCTGATTCGAAGGGCCACTGCCCTGACAGTTTAGTTGTGCGTGATGATTAGTTTTCCTCCCAACTCACACAGAGAGATTTCTCCTCAAAGACAAGTTGTCTTTCTTTCTGTCCCCTCTTTTCTTCCCCTCCTTCTTATTTTATGTTTCTTTCATTACCTCCTTTACTCTTATCCCCTCCATTTTACCTCTTTCTTTTAGTTCTTTCTCTCTGCCGATTTCATCATTTCATTTCTTTTCAGTTTGTTGCAAGAGACAAGCAGTTTGGTCCTTACTGTGGTAATGGATTCTCTGAGCCACTAAATATTGAAACTAAGAGTAACACTCTTAATGTCATCTTCCAAACTGACCAAACAGGGCAAAAAAAGGGCTGGAAACTTCGTTACCATGGAGATCGTGAGTAACCTAGAAGTTGCTCTTTGGTGTTACCAAAGTCCTTGGACAATGTAAGATCCAAACAGGTAGATTGTTATATGGCTAGGTATCCTGAGAGACTTCACTTCTTCAGCAAGATCTAAACCTGTCAGTGGTTGTAAAAATGCCTGAGCCTCTAGGAATCCTTCAACTGGGCTTGCAGGTGCAGACAACTTGGGGTGGTTAGTTAGTATGTACTAACATGGCTGGGTGGATGGAACTGGCTCAATGACTTCCTGGAGTATGTAATACCATATTATTTTAGACATCTCCATTGGAATGTTAGGCCTCAGGATTAAGGACTACTGAATGATTTCAGAAAGTGTGAGGATGATATAAATAGAATAGAGTTTATCCAACTCTTTGGTAATTTTTCTTTTTCTGTCCTTTCCAAGCAATTCCTTGTCCCAAAGAAGTCACTGCCAATTCTGTTTGGGAGCCTGAGAAAGCAAAATATGTGTTCAAAGATGTGGTAAAGATAACCTGTCTGGAGGGGTTTGAAGTTGTACAGGTAAAGTACTATTAGGGTCTTCTCCCTAATCCTTACATCAGGATGAGCATACTGGAATTGTCTAATGGTTTACTGAATGTCCTTGTTTGAGCAAGGTTTAACACCTTTTCCACAAACAGAACACCTCAGGATCTTTAGTCCTTCCTTGTGAGTCATGGCCAGATTGACACTCTCCTTCTGCCTTTAGTCTTCCTGGGGAAGGGGATTTGATATGTTGGGGCAAAGTTGTCTTTTAGCCTTAACTTCTGGGTGCTTTGGGTCATTCTACTAAGATGTCCCCAAGCTTCTTGTGGTCAGAACTCCTCATTGATCCAAGGCTAGAGATCAATTTCATTTTTGACTTTGATTTCCCATATCTCTCCTTATAAATTAATGGTGATGTGTATTATTCTCCAGGGAAGTGTTGGCTCGACATCTTTCTATTCTGCTTGTCAAAGTAATGGAAAGTGGAGTAATTCCAGACTGAAATGTCAACGTATGTATTTTTTTTTAAATGGGACTCTTCCCCTCCCTTTTGATGGGAATTAAAAGATCAGTTCATCAAGATTCAAGTTCATGTTTTCCTCTTAGGCTTGTGAGAGAGTGGGTTGGATTTTTTTAAAGATTTTATTTATTTATTTGACAGAGAGAGAGAGAGCACAAGCAGGGGGAGCAGGAGGGGGAGATTCAGGCTCCCCGTTGAGCAGGGAGCCTGATGCATGAACCCTGGGATCATGACCTGAGCCAAAGGCAGACATTTAGTCGACTGAGCCACCCAGGCACCCCATGGATTTTGTTTTTGAAGGGAAGCCATCCATGAAGTGCCAGCCCAGATCTGGTCCCAGACTGGCCAGACTAGCAGGTTTCTTTCAAAGAAAGAGGCCATGGGATTGGTAGAGTTAGTAGAACTATAGAAGTCCATTCCTGGCTTCTGCAGGATCCTCCACCAACCACTGAGAAGCAGGTTCCTCCTTGTAGCTTTCAAGGGCCTATCTGAATTGGCAGGACTCAGTGGTCTGGGGAGATTCATCTCAGGTGCGCTTATGGACGTGGGGGGTGGGAAGGAGTGAGGGACACGGCTGGGAGAATGGAACTGGCTCAGTGACTCTTCCTAGTAGGATGTAACTATCCTAACCATCACTCTCCTGCCTTCTTCTTGTAGCTGTGGACTGTGGCTCTCCTGAACCCATTCAGAATGGTAAAGTCGAAGATCCAGAACATACTTTATTTGGTTCTGTCATTCATTACACTTGTGAGGAGCCATATTATTACATGGAAGATGAAGAAAGCGGTAGGTTTCTTTGACTAGAGAAAAGAGGAGAAAGAATAAGAGTGCTGGAAAGGGAATAGAGCAATCTTTCTGGGTTGGAAGAGAGTTTGGAGAGAAATGAAGGATGGGATGGACTTTATCCTCTTGGCTTAGTCTAAAGATACAGTTTTCCTATGGGGATATAGGATCATCCATAGGGAATAACAGAGGTCACTGAGCTCAGCTTCACAACTATGGCAGAAATTCCCCCTACAATATCCATTTTCATGTGGTTACCCAGCTTTTGACCAGTTATTTAATGTAGAACATACAGGAGTAATGCTTCCAGTGTGAAGTCACCAATACTATGTGACTGGCTTTCTCGACGGAGAGGCCTTATTAGTACTAGATGAAGGACTGGAAAAGGCACAATATGCACCACTTTATTGCTTTTAATTTATTATTATTTTTAAAGATTTATTTATTTATTTTAGACAGAGAGAGAGAGAGAATGAGAGAGAGGGCGCGAGTGGGAGGGGCAGAAGGAGAGGGAGAGAGAATGTCAAGCTGAGCGCAGAGCCTGTCATGGGGCTCGATCTCACGACCCTGAGATCGTGACCTGAGCCAAAACCAAGAGTGGGACCCTTAACCGATTGTGCCACCCAGGCGCCCCACTTTTAATTTAATTTAATTTATTTTCCCACTGGAAGCATTTTTCTAATTTCTGCCATAACCCTCTTCTGCTTCAGAAACTGTTCCTTCTCCTCCCTTGGCAGGATAGAGGCCAGAGGCATTGTGTAGAGGGTGTCCTCAAGATTCTTTTCTGGTTGATTTGATTTGATCCCCTCCTCAAATCTCAGAGGAGCTGAGGCTCTGCATGAAAGGGGGAATGGAAAAGAGGAGATGTGGTGGTGAGTGTGTCTTTGTGCTATTCCAGGAGAGTATCACTGCGCTGGCAACGGGAGCTGGGTGAACAAATTGCTGGGCACGGAGCTGCCAAAATGTGTTCCAGGTAATGAGGGCGCAGTCTCGGGGACAGACCATAGACTCATGTGCCGGTGTATGGGGTCACTCTCTGAAAGTAGCTGCAGTCCTCTTGGGAAAGGACTTAATCTGGGTCTAGCTGAGTCTAGTCTAGAGGTGGAGACAACACTGGGCTGGGGGGCTTGCCAGGGCCTTGGGGAATTCCTCCAACATTGAGTCAGGCCAACTGACAGGAAATAGAAAGTTAACCAGTGACGATATCAGATTCTGGGCCAGTTAAGTTTGGTAATGTAGCTGTAGTAAGGGGATGTAGAATTGCTAAAAACAGGACCTGAAAAGTGAGAGTGAGGAATCCACACACAGAAACAAGACCAATTGACTAGCCCAGTTATTATGTAAAAAGTCTATCTGGCAACAGTCTATCTGGCATCAAGAAATGAGTTGCAGACAGATCACAATTGGATAGAAGAAGGCTTTCAGGCAAAGCCAGAATAATAATAATGTTCTGGTAGTAACAGCTAGGGGCTGAGTTAGTTAATTGCATTTATTATCTCATTCCAGTCCTTGCAACAACCCTTTGAAATATGATTAGTCCCATTTCACAGATGAGTGAACTGAGTACAAGGTCACAGAGTTAGTAAGAGGCAGGAGTAGACTTTGAACCCAGGTCTGTCTGGGTCCAAAGACTTTTATGCTCACCTCAGAGTCTATTCAGGCTGATTGCTGAGCGATTTAGGTAAGCTGACTTCATCTGGAATAAAATTCCATTTTAGTTGTATTTGGTAATGGCAAAGTAATCAAATCTGCAATCAGTGGGGAATGAGATGAAAGAGGAAAGAAGAGAACCCTCTCTTTGTCCTACTTCCATGGACTGCTAGGAGGGACTCAGCTGCAATTAGGACTTCAGTAAAGAAGGCGATAAACACTCCATGTGGGCATCAGAAGAAGGTGGGATGTTGCCTCCTCCACCATCTGTATGAGGAAAGAATTTCCCAGCACTGTTTCCAGTTGGGCCCCTGTCCCATGCTGAACCTAGGAAGTCTCTTCCACAAGCCTGCCTGTGGCTTTGGAAAAGTGAGGGGGAGATGTCTGGTGATTTCATTCAGGATGAACCTGGTACTGAGATGGTTGACCAAATACAGGGTTGGCTATATTGTGCTAGAGAATTCTGATGCCTGGCAGGTTTTTGAGTGGTTGGAGGATTTGCAGGAGGCCAGCAATTTATTTCTTCCTCTCTCTCCACCTTGTTCTTGTTCCTTCCTAGTGTGTGGTGTTCCCAGTAAGCCCTTTAGAGGAACACAGAGGATATTTGGAGGAATCATTGCAGAGATTCAAAATTTCCCCTGGCAAGTCTTCTTTTCAAACCCATGGGCTGGTGGGGTTCTCATCGATGAGTACTGGGTGCTGACAGCTGCCCACGTCGTGGAGGGAAACCGTGACCCAGTAATGTACGTTGGGTCCACCTCAGTGGTCACCTCAGAACTGGCAAAAGCCCAGATGCTCACTGCTGAGCGTGTAATTATTCATCCGGGTTGGGAATTCCTGGATGCCCCAGAAACACGAAAGAATTTCAACAATGACATTGCACTTGTGCAGCTGAAAGAGCCAGTGAAAATGGGACCCACTGTCTCCCCCATCTGCCTGCCAGGCACCTCCTCAGAATACAACCCCTCAGTGGGAGACCTGGGAATGATCTCAGGCTGGGGCCGAACAAAGGTAAGAGATCATGTGATCCTGCTCCGAGGGGCAATGTTACCCGTTGCTCCCTTAGAAAAGTGCCGGGAGATGAAAGGCAAAAATGTCAAAGTGGATATAAATTCCTATGTTTTCACTAATAATATGATCTGTGCTGGAGGAGAGAGGGGTGTTGATAGCTGTGAAGGGGACAGTGGTGGAGCCTTTGCTCTACGGGTTCCCAATGAAGGGACCCCCAAATTCTATGTAGCTGGTCTGGTGTCCTGGGGCCCCCAGTGTGGAACGTATGGAATCTACACACGAGTGCAGAACTACATTGACTGGATAACGAAGACAATACGGGAAAACAGTACCCCCAGAATGGACTAATCCATACATACACTACCAGCCTCTCCAAGGGCTATGACCAATCTGTTGCTTTCTGTTCCTCTCAACATTCCCATTATTTCACCATGATTGAGAGAAGATTTGGGAGTATGATTTAAATAGAACTTGATTATTGGGATACCTAGCTGGAAGTAGTGTTTGATCATTACATCGTATTGGTCACTTGGTGTGGTCTGATTCTGTGGGGTCCTCTCCCTTGAATTCCAACTGTGGATAACAACATGAGAAAGGTGCTCCTATCTTGCACTGTTCCATAGGGAGTCCCCTTTCCTGATGATTGCCTGATGTTACAGTTCTGACTCTGAAATTTATTGTTGGGCATACCCTTGATTTTTTTGTTTCCTCTTTACCTGTTTGAAGTTCCATTTACTTTATCATACTCAGTGTCTACTATCTACTTTTAATAAATCATGGTTATAACCCAGTTCTGGCTGACTTGTCTTATTCCACATCAAGACCTGAGCCCCAGAGAAGGGTGATGAAAGGCTGTGTCTTGGAGATTCAGGCATCTAGCAGTTCATATTGAATTGTCGTGAAAACAGGGATTTCAGATTTTCTCCTCTCTTCCAATTGAGATTTATTGTGGATCAGCATGAACATCATCAACACAAGGTGCCATATTTTGCTTTTAAAACTTATGAAACAAACCTGAACCTCATTCAGAAGTCTGCATACAGAATTGGCTGTTTAAGATCTTTAAGTATACAATTTTGAGGTATAAGTTGTTTTGACATCTTCTGAAAATTAATTTTCTTTTAATACATTTGTATAATATAATATTTTTTTGTATAATACAATATTACAACTTAATAAAAAGAAAAAAGAGAAATTGAACATGCTCTCATCAGCTTGCCTCGTGGTTTTGATCAATTTGTCAGTCAGGCAACAATGTCTTCTCCGGGTTAAACTCTGTGCCAAGACGTTACAGCTGAAAATTCTGGCGAGGATGGACCCAAAAACTCTCCCTTCTATTTTTTTCCCCAAGGGAATGGAAATAAAAAAAAACCTTCTTTCTCACCACAAATTGATTAGTAATGAAAAATGGCCACACAATTGAGACTAAGTATTTTTAAACTGTGGACAGGAGGCCTCTTTAGGGTGGTGGTTGCCCCAACAAGGTGTCTTATGAAAGCCACGGACTGAGAGTAAGAGTAGGAGTTCAGGAAGACTCTGGTCTGTTGGATGGGACATGAGGCTTTCAAGAGAGGAGTTTTTACCAGAAGCCAAAAGGTGTGTATTTGGAAAGGACTTTGATTTTTTGTAGACCAAAAGGGCTAAATTCAACAGTTGACCTTAGACTGAAGGTTAATACATGATGAAGTAAACAGAACTGTAATTGAAAGTTCTGAAGAATCAAAGGAGAATTATAATAAGGAAACTTGGAAGGACTGTGTCAAGTCAACCAAGCAGCATAAAGCCATTTACATTATTCCTTAACTGTACCTCATAACCACTTTTGTCTACCTGCTGTCATTACATATGCAATGGAATTGACAGTATAACCTGGACTACAATGTTTTGGGTGGGAGAAGGGTGATTCCTCTAGAGAAAAAAAGAATTGAAAAAATACTAAGAAACTTCCTCATGATGTAGAAACTTTCTTTTTAAATAATTGAGATAATAGAAAAAAATAACCTGGAATCAGACAAGTAACAGATAAAGGAAATCCATCTATGCCAGGATCTTCAGTCTATTTGGGTTATTCCTTTACAGATGACCTGGGGTATTAGTGACAGAATCCCCTCATTGTTACTGCCTTATGCAGTAGGATGGTTATGGTTAACTTTACTACGAGATCATTTCTCTGAGTGAATGGCAGGGAGGGGTTCTAAATGAATCATCATCAGAGACTTCAGAGCTGGGAAGGACTCATCACCAAGGCCTTGAAGGGCTAGAGAATCACTGATTGTGACTTAAAGGGTATCAATCATATCGCCTCACGTGTCACTTGGGAACAATGTGTGTCTGCTTCACCTGAAACTCAGGAAAAGACAACTTTTAAAAGCGGGTGAATTGTCACATTTCTTTGGTCAGAAGAAAATGGACTGGCAGATCAGTTTCTCATGCCAGGGTGAAAAGGTGGTATCCAGGGGCCAAGAGGATTTAATGGAAGGAACCTAATTGAAACTGGACTAACACAGAAGGCACTGGTACGATTTCGGGACCCTCTAAAGTTGCTTTTAGTGGGATACCTTGAATCAACAACATATTCTGTAGAAATGTGATGTTACAGTTTCCACATACCTGTTTTTTTAAACTAAAAATACGAGAAAACTGTTTTTTTCAGCTTTATTGAGGTGTAATTGACAAAATTGTAAAATATTTAAAGTATGCAATGTGATGATTTCATATACATATATATTGTGAAAGGACCCCCCATCACATTCATTAATTCATTACCTCACATATTTACCCTTAATAATATTTTTTTTGGGTGAGAACACTTTAGGTTCTAGTCTCTTAGCAAATTTCAATTATATGATATTGTGTTATCAACTATAGTCACCGTGTTATGCATTAGATCCTTAGACTTTATTCATCTTATAACTGAAAGCTTTTACCTTTTTACTGACCTCTCCCTATTTCCCCTACACCTCACCCACTGGCAACCACTTTTCTACTCTCTGTTTCTATGAGTTTGACTTGAAAAAAAAATTTTTTTTTTGAGATTCAACATAAAAGCAATACTATGCAGTATTTGCCTTTCTCTGGTTTATTTCACTTAGCATAATGCTTTCCGGATTTGTCCATATTGTCACAAATGACAGGATTTCCTTTTTTAAAAAGCTGAATAGGGGTGCCTGGGTGGCTCAGTCAGTTAAGTGTCTGCCTACAGCTTGGGTCATGATCTCAGGGTCCTGGATCGAGCCCTGCACTGGGCTCAACTTTCAGCGGTGAGTCTGCTTCTCCCTCTCCCTCTGTGCTCTCTCTTGCTTTTGCTGTCTCTTAAATAAATAAATACAATCTTTTTTTAAAAAAATAAAAAGCTGAATAATATTCCATTGTATGTAATATACACCATATTTTCTTGATCCATTCACCTCTTGACAGACACTTAGGTTGTTTCTATACCTTGGCTATTGTGAATAATGCTGCAAAGAACATTGGAGTATAGATATCTCTTTGAGATAATGGTTTAGTTTCTTTTGAATATATACCCCGAGGGGGTACTCCTGGATCATATGTATTTTTATTTTTAAGTACTTGAAAAACCTCCATTCTGTTTTTCATAGTGGTTGTACCAGTTTACATTCCCAACAACAGTGTACAAGTGTTCCCTTTTCTCCACATCCTTGCCAGCATTTGTTATCTTTTCTCTTTTTTTCATAGCCATACTAACAGATTTGAGATGCTATTTAATTGTGGTTTTGATTTGCATCTCCCTGATGATTAGCAATGTGATGCTGAGCACCTTTTCATGTACCTGAGGGTCATTTATATGTCTTCTCTGGAAAAATGTCTATTCAGGTCCTTTACCCATTTCAAAATTAGGTTATTTCCCTTTTTGCTATTGAGTTGTACGAGTTCCCTGTATATTTTGGATATTAACCCCTTATTGGATATGTGGTTTGCAAATATTTTCTTCCACTCTGTAGTTTGCCTTTTCATTTTATTGATGCTTTCTTTTGCTGAGCAGAAGATTTTTAGTTTGAGGTAGTCCCACTTGCTTATATTTGCTTTTGTTGCCTTTGCTTTTGGTGTCAAATCAAAAAAGTCATTGCCAAGATCAATGTCAAGGAGCTTACCCCCTATATTTTCTTCTAGGTGATTTATGGTTTTAGGTCTTATGCTCAAGTCCTTAGGATTAAAGACCTTTTTTTCAGTTGATATTTGTGTATGGTGTAAGATAATGGCCTAGTTTTATTGTTTTGCATATGGCAATCCAGTTTTCCCAACATCATCTATCGAAGAGACTATCCTTTTCCCATTGTATGTTTTTGGCTCCTTTTTAAAAGCTTAATTGCCATATGCGTGGGTTTATTTCTGGGTTCTCTATTTTGTGCCATTGATCTATGTGTTTGTGTTTATGCCAATACCATACTGTTTTAATTACTATAGCTTTGTAATATAGTTTGAAATCAGGAAGTGTGGTGTTCCAACTTTGTCCTCCTTTCTCAAGATTGCTTTGGATATTCAGGATCTTTCATGGTTTCATAGAAATTTTAAGATTGTTTTTTCTATTCTGTGAAAAATGCCATTGGAATTTTGATAGGGATTACATTGAATCTATAGAAGGCTTTGGGTAGTAAGAACACTTTAACAACATTAATTCTTCTAGTCCATGAGCATGGAATAGCTTTCTATTTATTTTTATCTTCTTCATTTTCTTTCATCAATGTTTTTTTTTTGAGTTTTCAGTGTATGGATCTTTCACCTAAGTATTTTATTCCTAAGTAGGTTTATTCCTAAGTATTTTATTCTTTTTGATGCTATTGTAAATAAGATTGTTTTCTTAATTTCTGATAGTTTGTTGTTAGTGTATAGAAACAGAACTGATTTTTGTTTATATTGATTTTATATCCTGCAACCTTACTGAATTTATTTGTTAGTTCTAACAGTTTTATTTTGGTGGGATTTTTAGGATTTTTAAATATAATTTCATGTCATCTGCAAATAGAGACAGTTTTACTTCTTCTTTTCCAATATGAATTCCTTTTATTGCTTTTTCTTGCCTGATTGCTCTGGCTAGGACTTCTAGTACTATGTTGAATAAAAGTGGTGAGAGTGGGCATCTTTGTCTTGTTCCTGATATTAGAGGAAAAGCATTCAGATTTTCACTGTTTAGTATGATGTTAGCTGTGGATTTGTCATATATGGCCTTTGTTATTTTGAGGTACATTCCCTCTATACCCAGTTTGAGAGTTTTTATCATGAAATGATGTTGAATTTTGTTAATGCTTTTTCTGCATCTATTGAGATGATTATATGATTTTTATCCTTCATTTTGTTAATGTGGTGTATTCCACTGATTTGTGAATGTTGACTTATCCTTGCATCCCTGTAATAAATCCCACTTGATTATGGTGTATAATCCTTTTAATGTGCTGTTGAATTTGGTTTGTTAATATTTTGTCGAGGATTTTGGCATCTCTGTTCATCAGGGATTTTGGTCTGAACTTTTCTTGTACTGTCTTGTCTGGCTTTGGTATCAGGGTAATGCTGGCTTCATAAAATGAGTTTGGAACTGTTCCCTCCTCTTCTATTTTTGGAAGAGTTTGAGAAGGATTGGTGTTAATTTTCTTTAAATGTTTGGTAGAATTCATCAGCGAAGACTTCTGGTCCTAGGACTTTTGTTTGTTGGAAGGTTTTTGATTACCAATTCAATCTCTTTACTAGTAGTTGGTGTATTCACATTTTCTTATTTCTTCATGATTCAGTCTTGGTAGATTGTATATTTATAGGAATTTATCCATTTCTTCTTAG